TGGCCGCGACGAGGCTCGGCCACGATGCGGTCCCCCCGACCTGGATTTCAGGCCTGGCCCGGAAGCCAGAGCCCCTCCTGACCTCAGAGTGGTCATATGTGAACGTCATAACTGCAACGAGGAGGTGGAGGAGGAGGAGGAGGAGGAAGAGGAGGAGGAGGAGGAAGATGAGGAGTAGGAGGAGGAGGAGGAGGAGGAGGAGGAGGAAGAGGAGGAGAGGAGGAGGAGAAGAGGAGGAGGAGGAGGAGGAGGAGAAGAGGAGAGGAGGAGGGGAGGAGGAGGAGGAGGAGGAGTAGGAGGAGAAAGAGGAGGAGGAAGAGGAGGAGGAGGAGGAGGAGGAGGAGGAGGAGGAACTGCGTGGGCGGCCTGGCACGCCTCGCGCAGGCTGGAGGAGGCGGAGGAGATGGGAGTGGAAGGAAGAGGGAGAGGAAACGGAGGAGGAGGAGGAGGAGGAGGAGGAGGAGGAGGAGGAGGAGGAGGCCCTGCGGTGAGCTGGTGAAAGGAGGCGACTTCCACCCCTCGACTGCACCTGGGCGAACCTGTCCCAGGTCGCACCCTCCCGTCTCGGGGGCCCGGCGCCTCTCGCCTCTGAGGAGCTCCGCTGCCTCGGCGCAGGGAGCGAGGACCTCGACCTCAAGAGCCCGGGCCCTCGAGATCATGGCTCCCAAGGCCTCACCAGGAGTGCACATCGGGTCCGCGCGGGGGATGGCAGCATCGGCCTGGGAGAAAGCGACCTTCAGCTCTGCGTCTTCCACGGCCGCAGCCAGCTCCGTTGTGCACGCTCCCGCCTCCCTCTCTGCCAAAAGGAGGACCTCAGGCGTTGCAGGCACGGGGTCGGCGACAGCATCAGCAGCAGGCAATGGTGCCTTCGAGCAGTGGCCGTCTCCTTGATTTCAGGAGGAACCACGGCTCGGCGGAGGATCTAAGTTGTGTGGACCGCGTCCAGCGGCCTGGAGCCTTGGAGATGGCCGCCCCAGCAACGGAACCGCCATTGCTGGAATGAGCTCGCGCTCGCGGCGTGTGGCCAGCACTACTCTGGCGGGCAGCACCAGCAGCAACAGCAGCGCCATCACGCCGAGCTCGCCGAACAGGAACGTCGTGCCCGTCATCGCCGCCACCTTGAACGCCATCATCGTCATCACCACGACGCAGAGGATCCGGAAGCTTTCCGCCAGCCAACGGCGCCATCCACTCGCAGATCTCGGACTTCTGTGTGCCGGTGTGCCGATGTCCTCGATCGATCGCATCGTACATGGGGACAATATTCATCAAAGCAAGGACCTGCTCGAACATGAGAGCCTGCGCGTGGGCGGACAAGGGCACTTGACTTTGCCATCTGAGGCCGCTGTCGACACCGAGAAGAGGATCGGACGACGGGCAACAGCCTGTGCCATGAGCCATCATCTAGCCGCCCCAGGTTCACAATGGCAGGGGCGCGCGGGGGCAGAGGGGAAGGGGGACGCGCAAGTGCGTTCAGGAAGCCCCGCGGCGAGCAAATGCTCGATCCCAGGGGCTCTCCTCCTCTTGCTCCTCCTCCTCCTCGTCCAAAGGCAGCTGCACGGCGGAGAGGGGGGGGGCGGCGGGGACAGGGTGGGTGGGGGGGGGGCGATTGCGAAATCAGCTTCTTCGCGACGCCCTAACCAATCTGTCTGGAGGGTGGTGGGCGACAAAAGAAACCGTTTCAGCTCCCTGGTATTGCTGGGTCACCCTGCGCATAAGAGGAAAGCCGCCCCCAGGGAGAGGGGGGGGTTCTCTCTGAAGCGTTGACCCTCACTACTCGGGCCCCATCTAGGCAGCGTACAGTCGACCCGTATCATAAGGAAATGCTTGAATCGGGCAACCTAGAGGGCCGTTTTACGATGTTTGCACTCGCTTGCCAGTGAAAAGAATCTTGGCACTCAGCTCGACTCGCAATCGCCTCGCTGTCACGCCCCAGAAGCGTGGTCCGTGAAACGGGTAAAACAGCCCGCTCCCCGACGGACTGAGAACGGAGTTTCCGCGGTCACCCCCTCAATCAGGGCGCCGCCTGAAACCGAATTTCTCGAGAGAGCTCTGACCCCCCCCACCCGCCCCCCGCCTCTGGCTCGGGGCGCTGGCGACGCGCCTCTGCGGAACGGCCCGGCGGATCACTGCAGCATGTCCGCGTGCGTCCCGAGCTCCTCCTCCAAGTACCCTGCGGGCGCCTGGCCGATCGCCGTCACCGCGCCGATCTGCACTATGCACAACCTGATAAATTTGCGGCAGTCGTGCGACGGCAATGCCATCACGACCTTCACACTGGTGTCGTCGTAGCACTTCTCCAGGCGGCAAGCGTGGCGCAACTGAACGATGTCCCACGGCTCCGGCTCCGTGGTTTGGCTCATAAGCGTCTCCGAATTCTTGCGGTTCTTGTGGTTCCGTCTCCTCCTCCAACAACTGCTTCACGAGGTGCACGAACACTGTCCCCACTGGCGGCCCGAGGCCGTGACCCTTCCCCTTCTCCTTCACCGCGGCCGCGTAGGCGGCGCCTGCGTTCTGCATGGCTGAGGCGACTTTGGCCTTGACCTCCAGGAGGTACGTATCGTATAACTGGCCCCTGATCTCACGGAGCTGCTTGGTGTTGATGATGAGTTGCTTCAGCATGGCCAGCAGCGTCGTCTTCAAGCCCGTGTCCGCGAGCTTCGCGTCCTTCGGCTGCTCCTTGTTGCGGCGACGAGCTCGGCGCGGTGGGCGGCTGACCTTGCGGTCCATGTCCCGCGGGCCCTCGCTCGCGGCCTCCTCCTCCCTCTTGCGACGCTCCCCCGTGCCCTCGGTCATCTTGGCGTCCTGCAGCTGGGGCAGCCAGGCGGGCATCGCCATTGCGTGCCACGACTCGGAACTTTCTGTCAGGCGGCACTGGGACACGGGAGAGGAGGTGGCGCTCAAGCTCTGCAAAGGTCTCGATGTCAACAGCTACGGGACACGCTGGACACGTGCGATCGGGAGGCTCGATCAACTCGTATGGGAATCTTGTGTATAGATTGGGTCGTCCGTGATCACCTCCCAACACTGCAGAGCGCCGATGTGCCTTCAACCCTTATTGTGTCCTGGGTCGATGTTGACAGATGACTCCTCTGTCCATCTGCAACCCACCTACGTAGTCACCAAGGCCCTCAACCCCAGTCGGAGCAGCAGGCGGCGGCGGCAGCGGTGTAGTCGATGGCGGTGGGATCGCGGCGCTCGAGAACTTCTGAAGCATACGACGTTCGTCGATGTGACTCAAAGCCTGGACGACGTCGTCCTGGAAAAGCGTGGCGACCTTTCGATCCCCCCATAACTCGTAAAACTCATCAGCCTCCTCGTCCTCAGCCAGGTCCTGGAGGTCCGTGAAAAACTGCCTGGCCCAGGGGTTCGCTTTCGGGTTTATGCTGATTTTGCCGTTCACGATGGTGGGGGATGCGACGGGTAGTTCGAGATCTCCTAGTTCATTAGCTCGGTCTCGATCGTGCTCGAATTTACACCGGCCTGAGAGAGTAGCCCACCACTGACGAGACTGTTGTCGAAATCGCAAAGCGTGTTCGTACCATGTTATGCGACGAACCTTGACCGCCAGGGAGACGGGGGCTGACTGCCAGTACTTCAAAACCTCTGCATTGCTCAGTTGTTTGTTTGGCCACTGGGGTCGGTCCAGGAAGCTTCGCCCATCATCATACATCTGAGCTTCCGAACAGCGGCTCCGTCCAGACGATCCTCCTCCCCCTTCGTCAAATCATTCGCCTCGAGGCCACTGAGGCTCGCATTCAAAACCACTCCCAGAAAAAGTAAACGCTTCAAAGTATTGGGGATCTTCGGTTTTTGCCAAGCCCCTGAAGCGCTTGTCTACATCAGTTGCATTCGTGCATGAAGGGGTAGTCCAGCCTTCGAAGTGTCGAAAGGGTGCGAAATAGAACACATGGTAGCTGGTAATGTTTAGCAAGGTCGTGTATCTAGTGAGACAACGATTTCTTCCTTCGATCGATTCTGTTTGTCGCCCCCTCGGTGGAGCCAAATGTCGAGAGCGTCGCCCTCCGCATTTAGGTCGGCTATGCACTCGGACGGCGTGCCAGGTGCCAGTGGACAGCAGCATCATGCGAAAAAGGTCGTCAATGAAACCGACAAGGCTCGGGTCGATGTCGCCAAACTCGGGAAAGTCAGTAATCATCCATGGGGCTGAAGTCGTCGCGGCTCTTGAACCTTTCCATTGCTCAACCACCGCATAATAAACTCTCATGAACAGTTCGGGTTCGCTGCTGCATCCCATGGGTCCGCCACTGCCCATGCGCAACCACACAGATCACCATCAAAAGCGCACAAGCGTGCCCGAAGTGCGCCTCGACGCTGGCGAAAGAGAGGCTGGAGGTGGAACGGGGCGAGCTCGCTGGTCTGTTGAAATCGGCGTGCGTGCGTGCCGCAAGCGAAGGCGTTGGTCAAGTCGTGGCTTCGTCCAACACAGCTCTGTCTTGCCGACTTTGCCTTCCAATAAAGCATCTTGGGGATGGCCGTATCATAAGGACGCACGATACGGATGCAAGGGCCTTGGAAGAGGCAGTGTCGAAGCTTTTCGAACGGGGCGCGGCCAACGAAAGTGGCCAAGGCTGGACCGAGGAGGGGAGGATGCAAGGGTACCCCTGGAAACATTGCCCATCCTACTTGGATTCGAGGAGGGGAAGATGCTAGGGCTTTGGAGGCCGATTTCGAAGCTTTTCGAGCGGGGCGCGGCCCACGAAAGCGGCCAAGGAAGGACCGAGGAGGCAAGGATGCAAGGGTACCCTGGGGGAAGGTTGCCTATCCTTCCTATGCGGGTTGACTGTACCTCGACGGACGCCGCACCAGGAAAGAAGGGGCCTTTTTGGCCACTTGAGAGCCGCAGCCACGCTCAAGGTACCCGACCCAAACCGAAGGAACGGCCCGAATACCGGAACCCTTCCTGAGCCCAAAAGGGTCCTTACTTCTGGCGTCTCTTGGCTGCAACCTCTTGGCCGCCAGGGTGGCCACCGCTTCGGGGGAGCCGTGCTTCCACGGGTGGCGCTCGGCCTCAGAAAGGGGTCGCCGTCCGAGGGAGAAGGTGGGGCAGCCAGAGGAGGAAGGGCAGCATCAAAACTCGGAGGCACCCGACCCAAACCGAGCCACACGCTGTGCTCGCCGCATCATTTTGGGGGCCCCCGCCGTTGGGAGCCCGCAGCGCAGGCGGCGCGGCGCCGCCCGGCGCGCCCTGGCGGAGCGGGCCCTTCTGGGGGCCCGGGCCCTGCCCTCGCCAGTCTTCGCGGGCTATCGGCGTGGCTGAGGATGCCGAGGATGAGGATGATTGAGGATGATGAGGAGGATGAGGATGAGGATGAAGATGCTGATGATGATGCTGATGATAGATGACGAGGCTGATGATGATGCTGATGACGATGCTGCTGATGATGATCATGAGGAGGATGTTACTTATGATGATGATGATGATGATGATGATGATGGTGATGATGATGGTGATGCTGATGAGGAAGCTGGTGGTGCTGCTAATGATGCTGATGCTGATGCTGATGCTAATGATGGCGATGATGCTGATGTTGATGCTGATGCTGATGAAGATGATGATGACGATGACGATGATGAGGATGAGGCTGATGATGACGATACTGATGATGATGATGAGGCTGATGATGATGATGCTGATGCTGATGATGATAATGATGATGATGATGATCATGATGATGATGATAAGGATGATGAGGATCATGATAATTATGATGCTGAAGATGATGATGGTGATGCTGATGATGAAGCCGATGGTGCTGCTAATGATGCTGATGCTGATGCTGATGCTGATGATGGCGATGATGCTGATGCTGATGATGATGCTGATGCTGATGACGATAATGATGACGATGATGATGATGACGATGATAATGATGATGTTGATGATGATGATGAGGCTGATGATGATTATGATGATGAGGCTGATGATGATGGTGATGCTGATGAGGAAGCTTATGATGCTGCTACTGATGCTGATGCTGATGCTGATGCTGATGATAATGATGATGATGATGATGATGATGATGATGATGATGATGATGGCGATGATGCTAATGCTGATGATGATGATGATAATGATGATGATGACGATGATGATGATGCTGAAATGATGATGATGATGATGATGATGATGATGATGATGATGATGGTGATGGTGATGGTGATGATGATGATGATGATGATGATGATGATGATGATGATGATGATGATGATGATGATGATGATGATGATGATGATGATGATGATGATGCTGAGGAGGAGGAGGAGGAGGAGGAGGAGGAGGGGGAGGAGGAGGAGGAGGAGGAGGAGGAGGAGGAGGAGGAGGGGGAGGAGGAAGATGATGACGCCGTCACCGACACCCTCGTCGCTGTCGCCCGCGGCCTCGCTATCGCGATTGCCCTCGCCCTCGTCGCCGTCGCCGATGCCGCAGGCCACCGTCGTCGTCGACCTCGTCGCCGTCGCCGCCGAAGGCCCGCGTGGCCTGCGGCCCGCGTCGCTCGCCTCGGGCTCGGCGTCGGGGCCTGGCCGTGGGGCCGCTGCCCTGGCGCCGCCCGCGACCTGCGGGGGGGAGCGCGCTGCGCGGCCGAGAGAGGATCGATCGATCGAGCTCTCGGGCCAGTTCGGTGCTGCTCTCCCTCGACTGGAGCTGAGCTGCGTTGAAGAATCTAGCATGGCCTAGCTGAGTGCTCACTTCGCTGAAAGGGGGTCGCTGGCGCCACGTGGCGCTCTGGCCCTATCTGCACCGACCTGCCGACCTGCCCACGCGGGGGACCGTGGGCAGGGGAGCACCCGCGCGTACGCGTGGCGAACCACGTGGCCGCCCTGTGCCCTGCTGCGTCCGCCCCTCGCGGCCCCCAGCCGCATGTGGCTCCGACGGCCTGGGAGGGAGAGGCAGCAACCAGGGCCTCTGGCGCTCCAGGCGAAATTCCCGAGGCACCCCTGGGGAAACCAACCTGTACCGATGCCACCACTCCCCGGACCTCTCCTGGGATGCGTTCTGACCAGAGCTTCGAGGCGAATCCACCGGTGGCGGCGAGGGCCTCCCAGGAGGCCCCAACAAGGGGCAGACGGGCGAACGGGAGAGGCATGGGAACTTTCTCCTCCTCTGATTTCTGGGCCAGGCTTGACGGGGGCGCGGTTCGAGCACTGGGCGGTGCTCCGCGGACGTCCTGCTGGGCCAGAGTAGCTAGAAGATAAAAAAACGCCATAGACATAAGCTTCTGGCGGATCTGCGCTGGGCCCCCCTCCTTCGCGCGCGGAGCGCGCCAGGGGCGGCGCCGGAGGCGCCGCCGGGGGGGGGGGCCCAGCGCGGATCCAAGAAATCTGCGCGGAACGCCAAAAGTGTTGTTGATGGCGTTTTTTCTTCTTCGATGAGCGGCGCTCCGCGGACATCCAGTTGGGCCTGAAATTATTGCGCCTATCTCGGAACTGACCCTGCGCGGCCGGGTGCCGGAGCGAGTGGGCAGGCTTCAGCCCTTGCCGCAAGCCGCCCGCGGGCATCCGCCCACTGGCGTGCGGCAAGACCCTCTGGCGGATGGCGGGCAATGCCTACAAAACTACCATCGCCGCGGCGGTGGGGCCCGGGCAGTTTGGGGTGGGCCGGAAGAACGGCACCGAGGTCAGGCAGTTTGGGGTGGTCGCTGGCGCTCTGGCGAAGTCGCCGAGCAGTGCCCTGCTCGAGCTGGACGCGTCGAACGCCTTGAACGAGTTCGACGGGGACGCTGTGCTGCAAGCAGTGTCCGCGAAGCTGCCCGAGCTAGCCCGCGTGGCGGCCGCGCGGCACGGGGGCGTCACAGCGCACGGCGCAACACCTGCCAGAGGGGAGCGTCCAGCTGGTGCTCGCGGACCGTGGCCTTGGCTAGGGCTGCCCCCAGTTGCCCGCCTTCTGCGGCGCCGTCGCCGTGTCGGACGCGTACCTCACCCTCGAGGCGGCCGCCGCCGTCGGCCCCGAAGCGCGCCAGCTGGCCTGCTTTAACGACCGCTGCCCCAAAAGCCACGCCAGCAGCACGGGAGGCAGCGCACGCCGCCGCCTCCGCAGCCTTCGGCTGATTCGGCCTCAGGGTGCACGCGGCCATGGATCTGCAGCTGCCAGCGCCCCTGGCCGGGGAGGTCGTGCCGCAGATGTAGCGCCTCGGGTCGCTACTGCGTGTTCGTGCGCGGCGGAGCGGCGGCAGAACGGCTGAGCGTCGACCCAGCGAGGTTGAGCTTCTTGCCGACAGCGGCCCCGGCGGCAGCGACCAAGCACCTGCCCGCCTACCTCGGGCAGCTGCGCGGCTCGGGACCCTCGGGGCCGCCAGGAGGAGGAGGAGGAGGAGCAGGGGCCATGAGGGGCCAGGCAGGAGGGAGGAGGCACCATGGATGGGGAAGCAGGGAAGGGTCCATGGGGGCCGGGAGGGGAGGGGGGAGGAGGGGGAGGGCAGGGGGGAGGGAGGAGGAGTGACCAGGGAGGAGAGGGGAGGATGGGAGGCATCCCAGGGGCACGTGGCATGAAGAAAGAGGTTCTCTCCCCAATGTAGCCGCCACCGACGCGAGCCAGGCCCGCCCGCGGCAAGACGGGTGCCCGAGAGGTCCCGAGAGATCCCCGGAACCGCAGAGAAAAACAAATGCGAAGAGGGGTGCGTCCAAAAGGGGGGGGTCGCAAACGACTTCCTGCCAAACGAAGAAGAGGGGGCCGCGACATCCGGGGAGGTATCCTGGCCCTGGCCGTGCCATCCACCTCCCACCCCTACAGGGAGGCTGGAAAATGTGAAGCTGGGAATTGCGTCGAAAAGGAAGTGGCCAGGGTCGGAAAACCCAGCAGGCTCGAACCTCGATCCTCGACTCTCGATCCTCGATCCTCGACGCTCGATTCTCGACCCCCGATCTCCGATCCTCGATCCTCGGTCCTCGACCCTCGACCCCCCGACCCCGAGTCCTCAGACCAGACGACCCCCCTCGAGGTTCGGGGGGCAGGGCCCGCAGACCAGACAACTTCGCCGCGATAGAGAGGAAGCCACGACTGCGAAATGGGACACGCGCGGCCAACCTCCCGGCCGCTGGGGCGGTCACCGCTGAGGGGCAACCGCCCAAGAAGGAGCGAGGAGGCGTCAGGACCCGCAGACCGGACGACGCCGCCGCGATAGCGAGGGAGCCACGAGTTGAAGGGAAACACGCGGCCAGCCTCCCGGCCGCCAGAGCGGTCGCTGAGGGGCAGCCGCCCAGGGAGGAGCGAGGAGGGGGGGGACAGGGCCCGCAGACCAGACGACGCCGCCGCGATAGCGAGGAAGCCACGAGTTGGAGGGAAATACGCGGCCAGCCTCCCGGCCGCGGGGGCAGTCACCGCCGATGGGTAGCCGCCCGAGGAGGAGCGAGGGGGGGGGACAGGGCCCGCAGACCACACGACGCCGCACAGCAGTAGCAAGGACGCCGCGAGTGACAGGAGGAGCGAACGCACTTACAGTCACCGTGCTACTGCCGGCCCACATCAGAAGGATCACTGATAAGGATGCTAGGGCCTTGGACGCCGATTTCGAAGCTTTTCGAGCGGGGCGCGGCCCACGAAAGCGGCCAAGGATGGACCGAGGAGGCAAGGATGCAATGGTACCCTGGGGAAGGTTGCCCATCTTTCCTATGCGGGTTGACTGTGCCTCGCAAGACGCCGCACCAGGAAAGAAGGGGCCTCCATGGCCACTTGAGAGCCGCAGCCACGCTCAAGGTACCCGACCCAAACCGAAGGAACGGCCCGAAGACCGGAACCCTTCCTGAGCCCAAAGGGGTCCTTACTTCTGGCGTCTTGGCTGCAACCTCTTGGCCGCCAGGGTGGCCACCGCTTCGGGGGAGCCGCGCTTCCGCGGGCGGCGCTCGGCCTCGGGAGGGGGTCGCCGTCCGAGGGAGGAGGTGGGGCAGCCGGAGGAGGAAGGGGAGCATCAAAACTCGGAGGTCCGCTCGGGGTTCTCGGATCGGCGCTGAAGCCCCCTCCCTGGCGCGCGGAGCGCGCCAGGGGCGGCGCTGGAGGCGCCGCCGGGGGGCTCCAGCGACGATCCGAGGAATATGCGCGGAGCTCCGAGTTTTTACAGTGGGGGCCGATCCACAAGAAACCTTCCACAAGAAATCCAATCCTGAGACCCCAGGACGTCCTTTGATTTTGGGCGTGGGAGCGTCGCGCTCTCCATAGCAAAAGCATCGAAACACAGGAAGCCCAGGGCACCCTGGAGGCATGCAGGGTGTTTCTTGGCAGGGGCCTCCACTGTATGTTCATGTCATGTTTTGTTCCCCGAAGGAAGGGGTGGCATGTTGGCACGTGAGGATGCGACAGCGCAAGTCGGCGCCAAGCCGACGTTCGCCGACAGCGGCAGGTGGACTACACGCATCTGCCCTGCCTCTCCGGCCGTCAGATCGATGTACTTTTCCCGCCCGCTCTGGCGCCGTTGCCCGGAAGGCACGGGGGTGAGTGGGAAGAGGCTGTTGCCCTTCGTGGAGCATTCGAGGGGACCAGCCACTGACATACCCATAACCACTCGGCGGTCCGCACGGATTCCTCGGATCGGCGCTTGGGCCTCCAAGCGGGGCCTCTGGCGCCGCCCCTGGCGCGCTCCGCGCGCCAGGGAGGGGGTCCAGCGCCGATCCGAGAAATCCGCGCAGACTTCCGAGTTTTTCCCCAATCAGAGCTTGCCTCAATAGGGGTCCTAGCGGATTCATATGGTTAGGTGAGGTGTGTCGCCGATTTCCGCGGCCCGCCTGGGTGCCCGGGTGCCTTATAGCCCCATAGCTATTATAGCCCTTTAGCCCTAGATATAACCCTATAGTACTATATCTCTATAACCTTATAGCCCTATAGCCATATAACCCTATAGCCCCATGGCCCCAGCCCAATAGCGCAATAGGCCTATAGCCCTATAGCCTTATAGCCATACAGCCCTATAGTCCCATAGCCCTATAGCCCTATAGCCCAACAGCCCTATAGCCCTATCGCCCTATATCCCTATAGCCCAATCGCCCTAGAGTCCTGTAGCCCTATAGCCCTATGGCCCAATAGCCCAATAACACTACAACCCTACTGCCCTTTATCCCTTTATCCCTTTATCCCTATAGCCTTATAGCCTTATAGCCCTTTAGCCCCATAGCCTTACAACCCTATGGCCCTATAGCTCTATATACCTATAGCCCTACAGCCCCATCGCCCTATATACCTGTAGCCATACAGCCCTATGGTCTAATAGCCCCATAGCCCAATCGACTCGTAGCCCTATGGCCATATAGCCCTATAGCCCCATAGCTCCAGAGCCCCAGAGCCCTATAGCCCTGCAGCCCTATAGCCCTACGGCCGTATAGCTCTATAGACCTATATCCCTATAGCCCTATAGTTTCATAGCCCTATAGCCCCATAGTCCCATCGCCCTATAGCCCAATAGCACCATAGTGCTATAGCCCTAAAAAGACTCTGATTTGGCTTCTCTCCAATCTCATTACGTTTGTGCCATTATTTGTTCCCCTACATTATGCCATGCAAGGGGGGCAGGAGCGAGGAGGGAGATGGGCCGGAGGAGGACGGATGGCCTCTCAACGCACCGCTCGAGGCCCAGAAGCTGAGGCTCGCCCGCGGCGTTTCGCAGCACAGCCGAGGCCAGGTCGAGCACTGGCCAGGTCGACTGCCCGAAGCTCCAGCTGGCTGCCAGAAGCTCCAGGACGATCGCGGGCCGATCGCTGGACCCATGCTGGGCCGAAGGCCACCTAAGCCCATCCAGACAGGAGGGAGCAGGGGGCCATTCTCGTCGTTGTCGTTCTCCCACTCCCCCGACCTCGACCGCGTCGTGGTCGGAGACCAAGACATCAGATCTGCACTTGTCTCCAATGCGGGGCCCCTGGAGGTCCCGACCCTTTCCCCTGGGCCAAGTTGTTCGCAGCGCGAGCCGTGCTTTCACACGGCTCGGGCCCTGACGCGGGCCACTGGAGGCTGAAACCTGCCCCCAACCTCGCCGTGATTCTGTTCACGTGAACGTTTTCTTGCTCGGCGTTTCGACATTGGGCAGAAAGGGGGGGGAGCGGCCAAACACAGCCAAGATCCACTCCAGGGGGGAAGTGGGGAAGGGGGGGTGCGAGGGCCCGAGCCGACCGGCAAAACAAAAAAAAAGAAAACGATCACATTTTGCTCACGACGCCAGCGCGTTTGGGGACGCCGCCGCCGTTGTCGCCGCTGCCGCCGCCGCCGCCGACGCGCCGCTGCCGGCAGCGGCAACGGCGGGCCGACCCCTGGCTCGCTGCGGGAGGTGCCCGGCCAGCTCCGCGGGGACGGCCAGGCCTGCGCGGGGGCGGCGGCGGGCCCCTCCGGAGCGGGCGGGGGGGGAGGGGGAGGGGATGGAGGAGGAGGAGGAGGAGGAGGAGGAGGAGGAAAGGAGGAGGAGGAGGAGGAGGAGGAGGAGGAGAGGAGAGGAGGAGGAGGAGGAGGAGGCGAGGGAGGAGGAGGAGGAGGAGGAGGAGGAGGAGGGGAGGAGGAGGAGGAGGAGGAGGAGGAGGATTTTTTCATATATATATATATATATATATATATGTATATATATATATATATATATATATAAACATCAACAACCACAACGCCAGCGACCTGGCGGACTCCGATGAGCAAGCTCAACGCCACACAGCCCAGCCAGGAGGCTGAGACTGCAGGGCAGCGCCACTGTCGGGGCCGTGCCCCCGTGGCGTGCCCTGAGCGCGACCAGGGAGCGCAAGGAGACCGTGCTCCGCGCACCCTGGTCGGGGTAGGGGGCGCCGGAGCGCGTGCTCCGACGCCCAACCTACCCACCACCTGCTCCATAGGTGGCCGCGGTTTCGGACCCCGGGACCCCCAGGACCGAACCAAAAAAGGGGACCACGACACGACGCGACACGACGGGGGGACGAAACGAACGACGCGACACGAACGACACGACACGGACGAACGACACGACAGAGACGAGCCGCCGGTCCCGCCCCAGGGCGGCGAGCGCTGGGGGGAACCAGCACCGCCCTGGGGGAGGCCACGGGACCTGGCGACCCCCCCGGGGGAAGGAAACCGCACTTTGGCGGCGTCCCCCGGGGGGGAGGAGGAGGAGGAGGAGGAGGAGGAGGAGGAGGAGGAGGAGGAGGAGGAGGAGGAGGAGGAGGAGGAGGAGGAGGAGGAGGAGGAGGAGGAGGAGGAGGAGGAGGAGGAGGAGGAGGAGGAGGAGGAGGAGGAGGAGGAGGAGGAGGAGGAGGGGGGAAGGGGGACTGGCGGGGCGCCCAGGGGAGCGCGCAGTCCTGACGCGAGGAGCATGGCAGCCATCCTCCCCCTCCTCAAGGCGAAGCCAGGAGGAGCATAACACCGGGCGAGGATACATCGAAAATCTCTGAGATCCCGCGGCTCTGTAGGATGTCTCGAGCGCCGCGGCCTTCTCAGAGCGTTCCAGAACGCTCTGCGAGCGTTCCAGAACGCCTTGGAACGAATTGATCCTCGTCCTAGCCCCGCCCGGCATCCTCCCCCTCCTGTTGTCGCGCGTCGCCTGAACGGCGATGACTGCTGTCTGGCGCATGTGCGGGACCAGCTTCGCCCTCTTCGCATCGCGTCTGGTAGCTGAGAGTCCAAGCAGGGCTTGGGAGTTCCACGACGTTATGCGTAGTCCATATTTAGAAGGGCACGCGAACCACAGAGACCATCGATCGTCACGGCCACGGCACTGGAGCCATTGGGTCTGCGTGGGCGGCGGCAAGATCTGTGACGAGTTGGTTTATAGCAGCATCGGACCAGCGAACTTTGGACGCCTCGTCGGCTGAGGCATCAGCCGCGACACGAGCGATGTGCGTACCGTTGAGAGGCAGGTATCCTCGAGTGCGGTGGATTATTGGCAGCATGTGTTGGAACTTGGCGGTGATGACCTTGATGGGCTTCTTGAGGTGGACTTTTTGACGAACCGTTTGTGGAAATTTGCCGGTAGAAACGTACAGTGGCTATTGGCCTTCGAATATTTCGATGTTGAAGGGGCGCCAGTCCTTGCCGATGTGGAGCGCTCTGTGTCACTCATGAGCACGACGAAAAGCAACGAAGTCGCCGCCTGTGAGGGTGAGGGAAGTACGTTTGCCTGGGCCATTGGCGTTTGGCGTGATAGCATTGATGTCGATATTGGCAGCGGTGAACCAAGCCAGAAGCGAAGTCTTGAGAGCGGCGGCGTTGAACTCTGCTGCAACGCCGCACCAGAAGATACCGACATGATGTTGGCGATTCCGGTTGCCGATGGAGCCGATGCTGATGGACGGGTGCATGGCTTCGGCGGCGGCGAGAATGCGCTTGATATCGGCGACGGCTGACGAGAGGCTGTGATTGAGGGCTTCGGCTTTGTCGGTGCGGCATATGATGTCAGCGATGTCGCGTTCAGAACGTTCTTAGCGGCCAGTGAATTCGGCGGCGGTCTTCGTGATAGTGGTGAGGAACTAAACTTGAGCTTGAGCGGGCACTTCTTGGCGGTCTCGGCGAATGCGGACGACGCAGCGTCCACTTGTCCTTGCAATAATTCTCGTAGCCATTTGCGATCCATATGGCTGGCGATGAGTTTGTTAGCACGTGCAACCCACGCGTCTTGTTCAGCGCTCTGGCACCGATCTCCCGTGAGCCCTCAGCAGGGAGCGGGCTGGAATGATACGGAAGCCCACCGCAGGCGGACGCGGAAGCGAGGGATATGGATGGAGACCACGCGGGCGCGAGGAAGGCCAAAGCTGCGGTCCAGAACTTCGCCCTGGACCGGGGGTCTCCGTGCTCTGCCACGGGCAACAGACATCGTGAGCCAAAATGGCCACGGAGGAGGAGGACGAGGGGAAGGAGGAGGAGGAGGAGGAGGAGGAGGAGGAGGAGGAGGAGGAGGAGGAGGAGGAGGAACTCTGACCTGAATGACACTGCCTTTCGTGCGTGTGTGGACGTCTCGGGCCCCTCCCCCCCGAACACGCGCCCGGGCGTCCTCCGCGTCCCGCGCGACGATGGGCGCAGTGGCCGCCATCCTGGCTGCTCCGCGGGGGACGGCGTGCTGAGATGCACAACCGCTGGTTGTTAATCTGGCCGCCGCCATCGCTGCCGCAGGTGCACCGTGTTAAGATGGCAGCCGCGGGGGCAGAATGCCGAGATGCGCAGCCGGTGGTCGCCATTCTGGCCGCCCCCATCGCTGCCGCCTCGACCAGTCAGGAACTTTGGCCGACATAGCGTGTCGCGGCGGCGGCCTCGGCGACACGCCATGCCGTGCAAACTGATAGCGTGTCGCTCCGCATTGCGGGGCGGGGGGTTGGGAAGAGTCGGGGATCTGCTGGCCCTGGTCAGTCCTAACCCGGGTCAGCAGGGCTTTGCGGAACCCGGCAGGATCCTGCACGCACGCCTGGGTCACTGCACCCCTGGCTCTGCAGGATCCTGCACAATCCGGCGTTTAGACTGACCCCCCTTTGCATTGAACCGCGCCTCTTGAGCCCCGAAAGAGCTCGGACCGCTGACGCCCGGAAATGGGGACGCGGTTAGCGTGTCGCACGGGAACGTCGTGGGCCAGAACTGGCGCAGCGACGCGCTAAGCGAACGTTCCTGGCCAGACCTTTACGGCCATCGCCTTTATGGTCAGTCCCGTTGCAGCCCTCATCAGTCCTCCTCTTTACCGCGGGGGAATGCGTTTGAGTCCTCACGGCAAGCGCCTCTCCCGAGAGGTCCCGGATTCAATTGCCTGGGGGTATTCAAACGACTACCTCCGACATGAGTCCTAGCTGACAGGTGGAGAGATGAAGCCGAACGCCTGTATCAGGTCACAAAGCTCATGCCCACGTTCCTTGTGACTGGACACCCCCTCGCCATAACAAAAATGCCCGACACATTGGAAGGAGTCTGCGATCTGACAGGCGCTCCGCCTGAGAGGGTTAACCGAATCAACGCCCGATCGCCACCACATGTTAGCCAGCGTGGCCCAAACAATGCGTTCTAGAATACCATGTGATACAACATATGTAGTACGAGTCGAAGCTGAACCTGGTAGGTCAAATAGCATCCGTCTCCATGGGAGGCGGATGAGCTCACATTGCATCCACTTCCATGTCAAAGGACTACGATATGGGGAGTGGATGGGTATGATAGGATAAGATCGATGTATCGGTCTTTCCAGCACATAGCGAACACTAAGGTAAGTGTCAGGGCAAATAGGGCGCGCGTGCCTTGAGCCAAAGGCAACGGCGCGCGAGCTATACTCCCGATTCTATATAACATCTCCCAAAGAGCGACCCTTAAAGTCGGGAGGGGAGGAGACGGAGAGTATAGCCGCGCAGCCGTTAGGCTCTACAAAGGCCGCGCGCACGACTGTTTGCAAGAAAAACAGTGTGTACAGTCTGGCCTAACATCAGACTGTAAGGCGAGTTTCCTCGCAAAACATTTCACGCAAATGCGAGATAGCCCCTTCGGACGATGACGGGCTATCGGCTCAGCTAGAGGTAAGCCAAACGGGCCATGCCTCACCGAGCAAGCGGGTATTAAGGCAAAGAGCCTGAATCATATAAAGCCGGCTCGTTGCCAGGCGTGAAATGTGAGGCTCGTTTCCGAGCACCTATAAGGGCGCCTCTGTAGTAGGCGCCCATGCTGGCAAATTGGGCCGCGGGGGGGCAACAAGGACAGACTAAAATTGATTAGACTTGGGTTTGTTTCTGTCCTCGGGACCCCGAAAGGGAACAAACTGCTTCACGTCATACTTGAATGACTGAATGCCTGACATCACTTCCAAAAGCAGCTCCCGATCGATGCTTCCCTTTGTATGCCCATCTGCGGTCATATCTCTAGTATCACACCACTGCACATTATGTACTATACCTATATCCATGAGCTCACGTATCCAGCTGATATGTCGTCCGTTCTGTCGGTATCTTAAGATCCTTGCTTGATAACGATTTATAAACCGACTCAGCGTCTATGGTAAGAGATACTTTAATGGCTAGGCCCCCAACTTTACGCATATCTCGTAATTGTCGTGGAGTCAGAGCCCCTGCCTTGAGCTCGTGGAGAGTGATGAGCGTAGGGTATCACTCATCGAGGTTATGTGCAGCTGCGAGTGCCTCCGCAGCATAGCTGGACCTCACCTGCAGTCGGTGTGATTTGCATAGTCCGTCACAGAGGTGAACGACGGATTTGCCTTGAGGCGAGTTTCCTCGCCGTAGTACGTTGGCCCCGCGTATGCCGTAGCCCTTGGTCTCATCGTCCTCCTCCCCGGTGAGCTTCCGATGCCCCGAATCGCTGTGAATGTCAACTTCATTCGTCGGCTTCATCCGAGGGAAGGTGATGCGTTTCGGGCTGCTGATCAGCTTTCGCGTCGCAGCATTCAGTCGTCTGACTTGTAGGTTGGTGGGCTCTTGGATTTTCTGGAGAGAGACCACGTATACCATGAGCCAGATTTGAGTAAGAAGGGCATAGGCGAGGGCTCCTCGCAAGCTGACGAACATGTCGGTAATGAGTTTCGTGGCTTTGGCATCGGCCGCCGCTCCTGTAAGTTCTGGGTGCGTGATAGGACGTAGTTGTTTGATATACTCGTCCTGATCCATGATCACATCCCCTTGGTCATTCTTAGTGTAGCGAACGGCGCAGTTCGTATATGAGTGTTTGTTAAGCTTGCATGTGCCAAACACCTTTTCGACACGTTGTACATAGTCGTCTATATTTTTCTCTAGGCCTGTCATATTAATATCATCGACATGTTTTGCCGTTAGCAAATCTTGGCTGAATTCAAACTCAGGATCATAACTGGTCGGCGTAAGACCTATAGCTCGTGTGGTCGTACGGAGTTTGAGAGAGAAAGCTCTTGGGGCGTCCTTTGTACCCGTTCCTGGCTTGAGGCACCTGAGGCAGTGTCGGCTTTCGTCATGGGATGAAAAGCAGGGTAGTGTACGAAGTACCTGGGCACTTCCCGGTGGAAGGGTGAAGCAAACCATGCGAGTTTCCTCGCCGGTGGCGTGGGCAAGTTCCTCATAGGTCAGACCCTTGAGGAAAGCTTTGTCGATGTCCATGGATGCTAAGATCCACTCTGGATGGCATGCCGCCTCACTTGCCAGCAGTCTCTGGGACTGCCTTCGGGCGGTTCCCGAGAAAGTTTCCACGCCGAAAGCCTCAATGTCCACAAATCCGCGAAGGACAAGTCTGAGACGGATGGTTTTAACGTTCTCGGTACCTACCTCCACAAACTTCCACTTATATACATACCTGGATGTCATGATGTTGGAAGCTTTGGATAAATCATACATCTCAAAGCATCGGTTATCAATCCAGATTTTGAGTTCAGTGTACAAAGCTTCACTAACCTCTTTTGGGTGTGCTGCTATGTCGGCTTTGGTGAATAGGTCATCTTCCTTGACTACCACAGCACATTTAGCAGCAGAGGATACATATACTCTCATCGTTGCGACCATATCAGTGTCGAGCTGTGCAAGTTGGGTCTGATCCAACACTACCTTTGACATTTCTGATGTAAGACATAACTCAACATAGGGACCATATTCATCACTATCAAGAAAGTAGCTCTCATCAGGTGTGGTTGAGCAGAGAGAGACTAGACAAGGCTCTTGTGGTTCAGGCTCGTCCCCGAGCGTTTCCGACAATACGATATCTTCTTCGTCCACAGATGCTGAAACCAAAACACATTGGTCGGGCAGCATGGTTGTTGGGACGCAGTAGAGATAATCGTCGGTAGTTGTCGTGGGATGAAGGTCCATACGTAACTCGTCGTACCACTCTTCCAGCATCATGGCTTCGATATTATGTTCCTCGTTTTCTTCATAGATTGTCGACAGACGGCCTTCACTCGGCGATGAAGCACCTGGGGTATCTGGCGGAGGCCTGTTTCCAGGCGAATCGTGTTCTCCAGACGTGGTGCTTGAGTGCTGATACTTGGCCAGGTCGTCGTGAAATTCTAAGGAAGGGACACGTGAAGTCAAGCATTGGATAAGTCTGGAATGAGTGCTACCAGTGATTTGAGAAATGTTCAGGCCAGTGCCCACGCACTCATAGTAGTGGAAGGCTGGGCTGATATCATTGTCGTAGTGGATCAGCGTAGACCCGGTGGCGTACTTTACTGCAGGTAGACTTGACACACTTTTGGCCAATCTAACTGCTACTACGTGTTCTAATCGGAAATAATTTCGCACGATATACTGTAGTGCTAGATGTACGCGCGGGTGAAACTTGCTGTCGTCTGAAAGATTGAGGTTTCCCTTGTAGTCTGGGATGTAGCCGAAGACTTTGGCAGGTTTCCCTGCGCCGAGGTGTGCCACATACGTAAGGACGGTTTGCATGGCCATACTATCCATGCCACGTTCCCGTGTGAGGAGACATTCAATGTATAGTGTGTGACGAGCATCAGGATACATCACAATTACCTCACGAGATCCTGCCTTGACAACAACATGTCCTCTTTCAGGCACGTTACGGATCACAGGGAATGGGCCGTTCCAGCCTCCATGATCGTCCTTAGTGGCAGTGGGTCGATGGTAGTCGACCAGATCCTCTGCTGAGTAAAGGCGAGCACCATCTGGAGCCGTTTTAGCCCTGAGAGCACGATTTGTCTTGGCCACAGCAATGGCTTGCGTTATGGCTTCTAGGCTAACTTCCCTCACACGACGTTCCCGTTCGTGTCCTGATGTCTCGGGCCCCTTGGGAAAGTTAAGGGTGTCGAGGTCAGGGAGAAAGGAGGGCTGACGTCCAGTGTGTGCTTGGTATGGCGATACTCCGTTGTAAAACGTGAAGGCGTTGGTAACGAAGATGCCTTCAGCCAATACTCTAGTGAATACAACAGGGATGTTGTGTCTATTCAGCTCTTCCTCAATCATGTGGAGGACGCCCCTGAGAATGCCGTTTCGTGACTCAATTGAAGTCGCGTGTTGGCCAGGCGCTGGGGCACGGAGTTCTGTACCCTTATTAGCCATCATGGCCTTAGCGGTGTCATTGTTCAGGGCGCCTTCTCCGTCTGAGTATAAGACTTTGAAGGGTCCATGATAGG